CTATAATATTGATGAGAGATATTTTTTCTTACTGAAATATATTCTAAAACATTTCTTACTTCTGTAGATTTTGTGAATATACCTTGCATGTTTAAATTATTAGAAGATAAATATTCACCAAAGTAAATAAGTATTTATTTTCATCATTTCGTAGCATCTTATTTGATTCTCCTGAAAAATTGGATTTTATGCCAATTATTATTTTTTATTTTTTTATTTTTGTAATTTAGTTATCATCCTAAATTAACCCAAAACAGAATGGAAAAGTATGAATATTGTTAGGATATTATTGGGACAAGTTTGACGTTTAATGTTACTCGGAGCATGCATTATTTTAATAATTTCAAAGTTAATGTAAAAGAAACAAAAAACATCTAAATTTTCCGTCATCTATTTTTGTTTATTAAAATTTTGGCAACACCTTGTTTTTTGTATGGTCTGTAAAGAAACAGATTCTAATCTCAACGACATAGTCTAGATAAGAAATCAAAATTAAGTTTAAAATCATTTTATCTTATTGTATGAAATATTCACAAGCCCTTTCATTCTGAATTGTTGAAAGGAATGACTGAAGCCGATAACTTTCAATCAACTTTAGATTTCACGAAAAGTGGAGCTTAAGAAAATGCTCGCAGAAGAAAATGTGTACTTCTTCCCCGTACTTCATATACGGATTTTACTCAATGATTAAAATTAATTAATAAATCAAACGAGATGCTTCGCGCTTGAATACTCTAGATGGATCAGTCGAAAACATAAATACTCGCCGATCATCAACAATACGCGGATATCACTCAATCACAACAGGTTTCTCGACATTTTAACGCTCAACCAAATCTTTGAGTGTTCTCTTACGTGTAACATCATGGCCCACTAGAAACCAGTCATGACGTCATACTCTTCCCAGTACTCACTGTGTGTCTTCTCCATGGAGCTAGGAATGTGTTCAGAGTTCCCAAGTCTTCTCTCCCGGTTGTTACGCATGTAGTACACTCGGGAAGAATCTCGATCTAATTGTAGGAGCACACGGAAGAGGAAATGGTTTGCAACCCGTGATTGTAACAATATCTCTCATCAAAGACTCTACACGAGTGTCTAAGAGTAAATGTACCTTTTAGAAATTGTAAAATGAAACGCACATGTTCAGCCAAATATTACTTAGTTTATGTTTTCATTTCATCTTTTGAAACATACTTCTTTCTAATTTTCGTAAACGTATGGGCGTTCAGAAAACATTTACAAAACCATGCATTCTTTTTATCTTATTGGATGCTTATCACTTTAAGCACCTAAGTTTATCGCTTTTTTCGTCAGATGCAATAATAATAATAATAATAATAATAATAATAATAATAATAATAATAATAATAATTTTAGAGCTCTTAATATAATTTTTCTCTCTCCACACTCAGCGACCGGACCAACTATTGACCTCGAGAACGTCTTCTCATTTTCACTTTACGGGTTTATGAAGTTTTTGTAGCTCCGCATCATGTATTTGAGAATTCTATTTTTATATTTTAGAATCCTAATTGGTAGCACACGCTTGTTGTGAAAATGATTCTTTGAGTCGAAATACGCGAGTAAAATAATAATAATAATCGATACTTTAAATGTGTGTAAGAATACGTCTTGAAAATATTTTAACATAGACTTAAAATCTGCCTAGATTTCTCTCAGTATTCAGCAATACGTGTGTTTAGATTATTCTTTAAACCTACATGCAGAAATGCTGAGCTTAAGATAAGATGGCTACATTAATACCAGGTAATTTCAGATGCTACTAATTCAAATGCACAAGCAAACAATTCTGAAAAATTACAATACAGATGTTGCCCTTGGCAACCAAGTTGTTTATTGCTATTCTGTTATATTCATTTCATCTTTGGCAAGCTGGTGGAAGGACAACACGTTGAGAGAATCATTACCATACGGAGAGAAACCTTTCATCGAATACAGTCATGTAAGTTTTATCCATTGTATAACTATCTTTCAGACGACATTGATAAAGTACTTACGTATGTTATTGTTCATATAAATAATTAAGTTAAAATTATTGTATTTGACCTTGTTACTCTTTTCATCGTGAAATCCGTTGATAAATTGTATTAATTTTCACTTAATATTCACAGTTAGATTTTTCGTAAATGATAACATTAGCTTCTTGTGTAATAACTCAAGATCCCCTCACACATATAGAAAATGTGTATACTTATTGAAACACTTCGGAGATAATTAAGATGAATTCATGCCATTTTCATGGTAACAAGACAGGTTGTCGTAGCAACGAAGAGACTGGAAAACAAAAGAACTACTTCTGGACCATTGTTGAAGTATTCTCAATCCCAGCACATTTAAATTGAAAACTAAAAATAACTATGTCCCGTGTAAATATAAGTTAGCTGCATTATTTTTGCTTTTGCGTTTTACTACGTTTTACGTATTAAATATTGTAATAATGTGGCAGAAATAGCCATTTTTCGAAATGCTCATTTTGTCGGGCCCTGGTAATAACCGCGCAACTTTTCCTGGCCGATGACTTGGAGATGCTGGTAGAGTGGGGGTAATAGTTACAGAATCGGCCTCTTAGAGGTTTTGAAGCAATGCCAATCTCTGGAAAATCGAACTGTAATCTACATTTCACTGCAATGATTGAAATAAAAATCTTGACCTGGGACGCATACTGATTTCGTTTGAAGGAGTGAAACTAGTTTCATTCAAATGAACTTATTATTAACGGTATCAGTCTAGTAAACCTTCTTGAAGTCTTAAAATACTATAAATCAATCTTTAACTCGAAGATATGCAGAAAGTTGGTGAAATGTTTTTAAATTGTCCTTGAATTCTGCTTTTTTACCAGGCGTTTCCAGGGAATTTCAATGATTCTCTCTTTTAATGATCATTCTACATGTCGCCCAAATACTTGCTCCAAAGTAAGGAGATGACCGATCCAAAACATTACTTAGAGAGTATATAAAAATCTTGTTCCTTTTTCGTACTCGTCAATTCGTACTGTCTTCGCAACTTTGTCAATAATTTTGCGTTTACCGCTTTTCAAAGTTATTCTACTTTTCATAGGAGTTTGAAGTGTGTCCTGTGAAGAATATGAACGTATCTTTGTCATTTCTTTAGTGTGTTTGAGAAAAACCGGCAGATAGCTTCAGTTTTTCGCAAATGAAGATGTGTCTGGAATGTTGTCATCAGTGCTCGCTGCGTGCTTTTACCTTCATCTGTTTACTGTAACGAGAGGGGGAAGGTAGACCATCGGTCAAGAACAGTTGCGCGGGTAATAACGAAGAAGTGGGTTCCTATATGTAGTAAGAAGACAGACGATGAAGTAAATAAAGTTTATCCTTCACTGCAAGTATGAAATCGTTCGAGATATTTTTCGACCTGTTTTATTCCGGGATAGAATATTACTACATAGAGAGCTTTCAGCGCTTATGGTGGATGCCCATAGAACTAGGGGCCGCCATAATGTTTGCTGTCAAAACATACGAGTGACGGCATACTCAACTGTTACACTAAATCGTGTTGTTCGAACCAGATCTCATATGTTTGTCTTTTCGCTTAGCTGCATTAAAATTATATTCGAGATTAGAATACAATATTCACAATGCATTCAGTTTGTTCGGCATATAACCGCAAAACCACAAATATATTGATACTTTTATTAAAGAGCCTTAATAGCTATTTCTACTACGCATGTCGACTTATTTCAAACATGAATTTTGGAACTTGTAAGCATACTTTCTTTCAAGAGAGTGATCGCGTAATGACTGCAACATAATTTGGAGAAGAATCGCTCTATGTTACATTAATGAAGCAATTACGCACTGTATGAATTGCAGAACCAACCATCTCTTCAAGACAATCTTTTGGAATACTGAGAAAAATATTACGCATATGTGTCCTAAACGTATACTATTTAAAAGTCAATATATTATTAAAATGTTTCCTTAAAACAATTTCGTGCTTTTATTTGACAACCTATTTCTTCATAGTAAAGTTCAGTGGCAGTGCATGACATAGTTTGCACTGAGTGCAACTTTGTACATTAGTGATAACCGTCATGTAATGGATCTTGCTTTTATTTGCCGCCTTATATAAACTATTTTGCTCATTTCAATAACATTAATTTTCATGCGTTATGCTAACTATAGTAACGTTTCAATAGCTTCCCTTTTTATAGCAATAATTGATGCTGGATGCAACATGTAGTTAAATTGAACGTTTCTTCATTCGCTGTCCTTACTGTGATTTTTGTTTTTAAATGATTAGTATTTGGCCGTGAGAACTCACAGTAAGAGGATTTATATTACGCGCGGCCCGCGACAACCTGGCCTTGACTGCAAACAAATTGCTTCAATTTGCTGCAAAGATTGATCTTCAGCCACTCTGTATAGTAATATTCTATCTAGTTGGGTTACATTAATGTGAAATTGTTAGTAATGTAAGAATGTTCTTCTGTTATGGCTACAGCCCCACGCTTTTCGACAGAAGACAGACAGGTCTTTTACCGAAAACAGTTTTTAAGTAACCCACAAAACACGGATTTCGATTACACAAAGTGATAGATGAAGTAATTTACTATAATATATATATATATAATTTGAAAAAATTCCTGACTACTACCACAATATTCAATTTAAACCTAGAACATTATTTGGTGTAAATTACAAATATTACATTCATTTGCCATAAAATATTTTTATGGCAGCTTTCATTTTCATAAAAATATTAAGGCAGATTATCATATATAGGTAAATGGATTGTTATTTGACGCTTACAGGATTTAATAATTTATTTTTCTGACGAGCTTACATGTAAAATACCCATGTAAAATCACCTAACATCATATATAATTTCAAAAGTGAAAAATGCAATATAGACACCAAACTAATTTAATGTATTCAGTTGCCAAAAAAAGTGACATTCGTACTGATCAATGTACGCTAATTTTTAATATAATATTAATAGAGGCCTCTAATTGCTCTCAGGGTGTTACAAGACGAGCTGTGGGAGGGCGGCGGCCAGGGGCAGCCCGCTGCCTCCCGCGCGACGCACAAAGCCAACTCCGTGGTGGTGGTGACGATCGTCGACACCGACGAAGAGGACGCCTCGAGCTGCGCCGCGTCGTGCAGCCCGCGGGAGCCAGAGCGGAGCACTCCGGAACACTCCATCAGCGAAGTCACCGTTATTTCCGTTCAAACGTCGCCGGCGCATCTTGAGTACAGCTTGACGCACCCGCTGGTGTCCAATTCCAGCAACAGCTGCGAGTCCATTGATTCTATGGAATCCAGCGAAATGACGAGCGAGAATATTTCACAGGACGGGGAAAATTTATTTTTCGATCGTAATGTTGACGTCAGCAGTTCCCAAGATAATTACAATCACGATCGCGCTACTGAAGATCAAGAGGATCTGCAAACCAACCCATTTATATACAAAATAAACCACCCCCTGGGAGTAAAAAATTACGTCATCAAGCTCAAGGAACACGCGGCGAGAGGTAGACTTTTTAGAAACAATGACGTAGAACGCGTGACAGTTAATACAACCCAGAATGTGTGTAATTACGAAGAAGTCAGAAGTTTGTTGACCAGCTACGGTGTGATCAGTCCAATCGATTACTCGAGGAAAGGTTCCGGGGATGAGTTGGCCAGCAAAGAGGACTGTGAAAATCAAACCATGATCGTCGATGTCAGTGATGTTGAAATGGAGGAAGAGGAACCAATCTACGGAGCCCAAGAAATCAGACTTGATACCGAAGCAAATGAAACAAGTGTAGGTTGCATTGACCCCGAAATGGAAGATTGTAATGACAGTGTTGTGAGAATTGAATCTTCTTCTAATTATCAAACGAGAGAGGAGATGGCAGAAAAAGACACCGAACCTTTGAAAAGGTAACATTACAAAGTTCACAAAAATATACGATAATAACTTAAATTTAAATGTTAGTATTTCCAATTTAATGTGAAGGAGACATATCAAATCCTTTTCGACACATTCCCATTTCACAATGCGGTTAATGTGTCAGTGCCTTTCTCATAACTTCTATAATATTTCTTTTTCCTTTTTTGTACTGAAAAATAGACGTTAATTATTATTATTATTATTATTATTATTATTATTATTATTATTAGTATTTTTACATTTCTAAAAAAATACAGTATTACAATTACAATCTTGTTTCTCTGTGATTCTATTCAAAATATTGAGTAAGCAATTCAAAAGACACGTTTATACCAAGTACAGTTCGGAAAATTATTTACATTCAAACTTATCACTCGGGATGCATTCAGTGCTTAAAAATAGATTTCAGCTAATTTTTAAAAACGTCCAAACGATATTACTATTAATAAATTATTGCATTTCATTCATTAAAATTCTTTGTTTCACGGATGGAAATGAATTATTGACATCTGCCCCAGCCCTGGCCCACGCATCACTAAGCCATTAGCTATTTTTGTCAAGAGACCATCGATGTATCTTGTTTGGCTCGAAGCAACCGTCTGCTCTGTTTCACCGTGCATTGATGCTGAAAGCAAGATAATGTCCCATTAGAACGTCAGCCCTAAGGACCCGAACATGTAAATAATAAAGATTTTACTAAGTAGCTACAATTTTTATTTGAATATTTATTGTCAGTATCCTTACTGAATTTTTTTAAAATAACAATAATTTACATCTTTCCTGCACTAAAATGTGATAATTTCATTGATCTATCACCCTCAAAATGTTATGATTTTACCTCCTATCCGTTTTTAAATCTTGAAGTACTATTTCAACAAATGCTGTATTAATTTGTGTTTGTTAGTTTTTCTGAAGTTATTGGACATTTTTATCGGCTCTTGCATTTTCAAGAGTTGTTTGAAACCTAGACAATTAATGATGAGTTACTTCGTGATTTTTCGAAGGCAAATTAATGAACAATACTAATTAGGAGAAAATAAGAGCTAAGTCTAATTAGGAAATCTGAGAATGTGATGTAATGTTCTTACCATTAAAAAATAGTTTAAAAAATACAGATTCGTAAATTAGAAATAAAGACAATGGTAAGATTCCAAGTTCAATGAAGAGAGATTTGCAAAAATTACATGGATGGTAATTGATAATTATTCTTATTCTGCAATCTAAAATTTTGATACTATAGAACGAGCTTTCCTATAATATTATGCAAGATTTGTAGCGGTGATATACATTTGCAAAATACAGGCAACGCACGTGAGGGCTGACTGATTTTCAGTGAATTTTTAATGCGGTACATAATTGAATTAATTTCGTGTTTAATTCAGTTATATGTGTATTCTTTTTGCGGTTTTAATTAAAAGACTCACAAAGTTTGCTACCTTAACATCAGCCAATTACGTATAGTTCATTTTTAATAACGCATGCGACCGCCGGTTTGAAATGAAAAAAATGCTTTGAAACCGTCGTTCCTTATTTAACTAGCAATTTGTCATAACGAATCCAATTTGAATCTCTTTAAATCGTACTACTTACAGTTTCTTTGTTGCAAAGTTATCAGCAAACATATCTTTGTTTCTAAAGGACGAAGGCATATCATTTATGATATGACGTAAAATTGAACCCTGCGGCCCCTTTGTGCAATTGGCAATGTATCGGAAAGCTGTGTATGTAATGTCCCATCATTCCACTATGGTGTGGCTACTCTCTGAGATCGTTGTTAAGGGTACAGGTTATAAGCAACCCAGAGGAATGCCACGAACTCCGTGCAAAAGTAATTCTATGGTGAATGATGCCTAATGCTTTTGAAAGATTTAAAAGTATTCCAATAGATGCTTCATTTTTATCCATTGATGAAGCGACATCATTAAAAGAGGAAATATGTCTGTTTCTGTATTTTTTAATTTGTTAGTACAAGTAATTGGAATTATTATCCATGATACTTCTCAAAAAATGATGTTTTCTATGAAAATGAACTCAAAATTGTGTATTTTCAAAAACAATCATATGACATTTTCTCAAAATGGGTTCAATTTTTTTAATATAAATGTTAGGATGGAAACAGGTATTACTGTTCTATGATATTGTTAAGTATGTTTTAATTATTATTTTATGGCGCAGATTTAATTTTTGTTAACTCCCAGGATATTCAAAATAGTGATGCTGCATAATGGCAAACACTTGATTTATTTAGTTTTCTTAAACCTTTGGTCTGAGGTAGCTTTTCGGCCCCATCGAGGTTTCCCAGCTGCTTCCTATCAGCGCTCAAAATACATTTTTTGACCAATTCTCAATTGTTGTATTACGCAACTGAAAATACTCATCAATAATCATGGAACATTTGTTTAATCCTGTTTTACAGGAGGTCAAAGAGAATAAATAAACTAAACGGGGAGAAGAAGCAGAAGTGCTCCGAGGCAGGCCCTGCGCGCACGCGTGCCAAGCAACTCACCAAGAAGGTGAGTTCACGCAGACCGGTGCTTGAGGGTTCCAAGGCTGTTGAACTCTCAGAATTGTCGAAAATTACAAAAATTCCAATATTTTCGGCCTTATCCTAGAACAACAATGTTGAAGGTAGATTTCTTTTCCTTGAAATGTTTTCCTAATTAAATCCGTTCTTAAAAAACACCTAGGAAAAGATCATGCGCGAATATGAGTAGTTTTCGCGTAATATTACGTAAAATACAGGCAATTTTCAAACAACTATTTTCACAAAAATGGCTTCAGTAATTTTCCTTTTGCCACAAGATCTTTTTTCCATTATATCTTTAAATTCATGGAGAATTTTGTGAAATAACTAGTAATTTTTGCTTTATTTAAAGGGGGAGGTATATGAGAATGATCAGAAAAAAAAAACGTGCATGTGTCTTGCCAGCAACAATTGTTCTGCAACTGTTTTATGTTCTCGCTCTTACTTCGTAAGACACCTTGATACCGAAGAATGCATTGACGGCAAAACTGCCGCAGTGTCTGTCCGTCTGTGGTTAACACTGTCCCTAAGCTGTTCAGAGGATTTTCTCCAGAATTGATCTTCCACGTTCCGTGTAAATGAACTCATGGCTCTCTGGCTCTGAAACGGATATTTTGATTTTTGGTGGTGTTTCACATGAAGCGTCAACATTTGCAAAATTTTCTCATAAATGGCTCCAATGTTTTTTATTAAACGTATCTTCGCATAGCTTCAACTTAGTGTGGTGTAGGTCTCATTTTCGTAGAAATCCCTGATTTTTCGAAAGCAGCGAAAGTTCATTTTTCCTACAAATACAATCTTGAAGATTTGGATCTTGCAGATTTTTTTATTTATGCCCCGTTCTCTTAATATGCTTAAGAACGTATGTGCTGTTGAAGCACCTTTAGTTAGCATGTAGCACCTTCTCTGCTTTATCCACTAATTTTCGAGCACTTGCTCTTATCCCTGTAACCTATGTTCGAGTACTAACTCTGCACTTCCTGTCCCTGCTGGTGGCTGTGCGCAGGCGTGCACCAACCCGCTGGGGGCGGCGTCCGAGAAGCCGCGCGGCGGGGCGGGGCCGTGGCGGGGGCGGGCGCGCGGCGCGGGCCGTGGCGACGCGCGCCGCTCGCGCCACCTGCTGTCGGTGGCGCGTGTGCGCCGCCCCACCGCCGCCGACCTGGGCGGGCGGCGCTCGTGGCCCGTGGCGGCATGCACGAGCGGCCGTGTGGCCCTGGCCCGCCGCCGCCCCCGCCCCCGCCGCTCCCGCGCCGCGGCCGCCGTCGCCCGACCCCGCCGATCTGGCGCGCCAGCGCGACGCCGAGATCCGCCTGCACTGGGCGCTCGCCGCCTGCTTCCAGGTGAATTAAACAAATCATTTTATAAGGCACGAGGTGTAACAATGACCCAATGTCATCGGCCACTTCCCTTAGAAAAATCGAAGTATAAAACAAAAAAAATCTTCAATTCTGTCTTTTTACAGTCTGCTATTGTTGTGTATTTTAGGTGTACAAAGACTCAAAGGAAGTGAGATCGAAATTGACTCAGTCTCCCCAAATACGAGCAGAAACCTGGCCGTATCCAACTGCAAACAAAAGTGTACAGGATATTTACATTGAATCTCGACTTTACAAGTTCTTCGACAATGAAATGTCAAAAATATTTTTGAAGGTAAGATTACATGTTCTTATTGCACTAAATTGCGATGATTTTAGTAAATGCCACTAAAAATCATTAATCAAAATTTGATGAAAAATGAAGTGCTAATTCAAACATGCAGCCTAATTGTTTGTATAATCTCATAGTTTTATGCTTTTTTGCATTGATTCATGTGTGTCCGCGTTGTTAAGTTCCCTTTGCAGCAGATAAAAACAGAAAATGCAAAAGGTTCTTTAGAGTTGTTTTGAGCCGGAGTCGTTGACCGAATTGCTTAACTATGCTCCGTGAAGTCACGGACGTTAAGCAATTCGAGGCATCGTGGATTCCCGGATGGGTGGTCATCTGGTAACCCCGGTTACTAACGGCGCTGAGCTCCTGACCGAAGGCAGAAAAGGCATTGACTGACTGTGACGTTACGAGACAAAAGAATTAACTTCACGGAATATTACTTTAATGTTTTTATCGTTCAACGCCCCCAAAAAAGGCTAAGAGTCGTGTTGCGTAAAAAATGCAACGTATGATATTACAGAAAAAGAATTGATAGAATATGAAGTTCTCCTTTTATCCAAATTTTCATTGCATAGTAAACCACATACAAGTTTATTAAATGAGAATTATACTAAATTCAATTACATTTAAATCAATGCTGTTCATGAGACAAGTTATCGTGTCCTCAAATTTTCACACTGCTAGTACATTGTGTTAAAAAACACATTAAGGGTTTATATTTTAAATGTTTAATTTATAATTTTATCATAAAATTATTTGAAAATTGGTTTTCCTAGATATTTTGCTGATTTGAGGTTACACCCTTTTTAACGTCAGGTAGTTTCTCTTCGAAAGATCCGAATGATGCATTTGTTTTGGCGAGAGATGTACTTTTTATTTCAAGTTATATTGGTTTAGGAATTACTACTTCCCATAAAACACAAATTCAGGAAGAATGTTACAGATAAAAAAGTGCAATAGTCTCGAACTGAAAGTCAGTTTTGAGAAAGTGCATTTCAAAGTTTCTTCCATTGCTCTTTAATTGACTCTTGCAAATTGATTCATCTCCCTTTCATTATTATAAAAATAGGTGTTGAAAATTTAATTTTAATAATAAGATAAAATTTAAAATATTTTTTATAATTATTAAAATAATTGAAAATGGCGTTTTCAGAATGGAACGTCTCGCTACTCCAATAGCAAATTCAGAGAATACATGGCAACATTACGATCAAGTAAGTCTGTCGCATATTCTGAAAACCTCAAGTGTCTACTTAACTTTGGAGATTACTATAAGTACTTAATAGTACTTAATCAAGTAACTAAATAGTATTAACTGAAAATAATTCTAAGTAGCGTGAATTGGTGCACGTAAGAACCTTGGTTTTACTAATACGAGAGGGAATCAAGAAGTTCCTGGAATTCCCTTATAAGTATTTATGACCACAGTGTAGGTACACGATTATTTAATCGGCTTGCAAATAGACTCTTTCCCACACACTCACTTGTTAACCGACCTTTCTATTGCTGGAAACAACGGTGAAAGTCCTGTTTTGGTATCTTCCGAAGCTCTTCCGTCGCGTTCGTTTTGATGTCTTCGACGGTGGCAAAAAGGTTTCCTTTAAGGTTCTTTTGATTTAGGGGAAAAGCCAGAAATGTGCCGGTGCTAAATCCGGTGAGTGAGGAGGCTGGTAGAGGAGTGGAACGTCCCCACAAGTGATGTGTGGGAGGAAGCATTGTGTTGCAGTGTTCGCCCCCATCCCCATTACGCGGGTTGCCGCTCAAAACCAGCACGTAGAATGGGTCGTTAAGTGTTTGTCCAGGTGATACAAATTCATGGTGCACCACTCCTTCATTATTAAAAAGAACAACGAGCATCACCTTGTTTTGGGTTTGACACGACGTTCTTTCCTTGGTCGAGGTGAAGACGTGTGCCATTCTGATGGCAGCAGTTTTTGCCCCGCGTGCACCCAGGTCTCAACGCCAGTAATGACTGTCCCAAGAAACATCGGGTCCTCTGTGCCGTTTCCAAAAATTCGACCGCAGTCAAAACGTGTTTCAAGTTGATTCGGGGTCGACATCCGTGAAGCCAAATTGGCACTGGCACGTTACGTCTTCAAAACATCTGACAGGATTGCGTGAGTGGATCAATGAGAGATCTGTAATTGTTGTGTCAATTCGTCGATGGTCGATTGTCAGTCTGATCTGATTAACTGTTTCACTTGCTCGATCACTTCTTCGTTTCTGGATGTTGATGGTCATCCACTGCGGCGCTCGTTTCGCAGCGATTCCTGTCGTGCAGAAGCCGAGCAAACCGCACGTCAACGTCGACTTCCTTTAAAGCAGCGCCCCCGTACGTTGCTGGCAAAGCTAACAAAGTCTCTGCAGAAGATTTCCCCAAACTGCACATTGACATACTCCCTTTTCTCCGACTGCGACATCGCGCCAACAGATCACCACACACGCACACACACACGTACTTGTCAATAACCAAAAATCATTATGCAAATTATTGCAGAGTAATCAAGAATATTTTGTTACATCATATCAATTAAATCGGATTATTATGAGGTGCAGCAAAACTGTTACGACAAAATTCCTGGAACTTTTTGAGTGTCCATCTTATAATGTAATTTATAATGTACGAGTAATTTTTATGGGCATTTGCTTTACAGGTCAAACATCGCAGACAAACCTCATGAATTATTTTTATCCTCAAGGTTCTTTATTAGAATCTTTACAAAATTGTTTACAGAAAGGGGAAGAAATACTTACTTTTTCATCTCAAGGACAGGGAAGTGTTTTTACTGCTAAAAATGCAAACAATGTGTGTAAGTCATCAAAAAGCACAATCGCGTCTGGAGAAGTTCATAATCAACCGTGTAACACTCGGGTGGCACACATTTCTCCAGAATGCAATAGCAATATGTTACAACATTCATCTTCACTTAATGAAAGAAAATGTGAAGTACTGGAGAAACTTTCAAAATTTATTGAAGAGAATTGTATGGACTTACATGAAAGTAATTCTTTTAGTACCCATGGGACGCCAGTTATGGATCAAAATCAACGAAAATTCGAAGTAACTTCCGTAAACCAGTGGAATCGCTCCAGTAGTAACTTGTATGGAAAAGCTCCTAAAGCTCCTTTGAATGGATTAGACAGTCTGGATAACAAGGATAACGAGAGTGTACCCGCCACAACAAATGTTTACTTCAAAAGCAACTCTCTGTATAGAAGCCATGTCATTGATTCTAGGACCATTCTAGACTCGCTCTGCTGTGTTCTCTACTCCATTGCAAGAGATTACTGTAAAATAAACAATCTCAAGACTGATGAACTCGTGAATTACATTAACAGCCTTACTCCGCAATTGTTGATGGAGTGGATAGAAAAGAATATAGAGTATGAAAGTGAAAGGCTGTAGTAAATGTATATAAATATAAAACATGAACTTTCTATAAATGCTGTTATATTAATGAATTGGTGTGTATTGCTACTTTTTGAAGAAAGTTATATATAACAAAGCTCTAGTAAATAAGTATTTTTAGAGGAGATAAAATGATGTGATTGTCATTATTCAAAATAATATTTTATTACACATCATTTATTAAGGTTCATATAAAGTGTAATAATAACAAGAGTCATGATACTATGTAAAACTATTTACTCTTATTTATATAAATGTTTTTGCTTGTGTAATTTGAGTGTGTATGTATTTATTACATGCCATTAGTACATTAGTACTGGTGTTTCAGTGGATGGTTGATTTTTCACATTTTATTTATCAATAGATAATCTCAGAATATACAAACATTGTAAATAAACACCTTCAAAGATTAAATCTTAAATCTTTTTTGTATAGTATTAAAAGTGATTTCAATTATTTCTGGTGAATACTTATAATTTAGATCAACACTGCCAACGATAATTACTACAGTTAACTGTCACGAACGTGAAAAAGTTCCTTTGTCCCCACTTTTAGACTAATTTTGAGACACAATTGTGTTTCTAAAACAGGTGTTCAAGCGCAAGGGAACACCTCGAGGGGTCAAGCAAAGGAGTTTCGTCAGTAAATGCGATATAGGCAGCTTTGCACCGGGATATGTGCCTGGCCACCTGCGAGTTCGGTTAATTCTATTGCCCCTCCTTGTAAGCGTCTTATCTGTCGTCATATATCACTGTAGTTTTAAACCAAATTGTTGGATTTGTAAAGCCCTTCCGACATGTTCATAACATTCTTTCGTGCGAACATTAAAAACATTGCCGCGATCGTAAAGTAGTGCAGTGAAAAGTTGGTAATGAAAAAAAGAGCAAACGATGTTGGCTTTGGAAGAACAAATATTGGGCTCCTGCCTGCCATACTACTGAGGCCATCCGTACCTGCATCTATCATGCAACTGCAAGAAGAGGTGCATGAGAAATTAGTTGTAGGAAGGCACGACTCTTTTGTTCAAAGTTATGTCTTAATTGTTGGCACACCTGCAGTAATGTGAGGACAATTCTTGGTAACCATGAGAACAAAAATATTGAACCAGAGGTACCTGAATGTCTTAAGACATCAGTTTTGCATTCCGAAGAAAACACCAATGATCTACTAGAAGATACTGAAACATCCGCTTTGCGGCCCTCTGAATTCAAACCATCATCCTTAAAGCGACCAAAAATAAGTGAATGTAATGATATAAGTGTAAATAAAAGTAAGAGTCTATTAATTATTTATTATTAGCGTAATGTCTGTTTTCTTCTTTGAGTTCGCGACCAAAGAAGTTGGGTAGAGGTAAAATAAAATATATTTTCCAATTTGCAACCATCTTCCTAAGGAGCTTCTACAATATTTTGTGCGAAATATGATCTGCTCCTAATAACGCGGCGACTTGCACGTCCCAGTCTTTTGAATTTTTTTTTTATCTGGAGTTTGGACACGTTCTCTGGGGAACGAATCCAAGAGCTCTGATAGCTATTGCGACATCTTGTTTTTCTACTCTCCACTTTCGGCTGATCTCGATTTCCATACGGGACGATCCTCTGCCTTGAGTTACGATGTTATGATAATATGGCACAGTAAAATTAACAAGTACACACGCTTTTTCAATCACGTAACGGATTTCGTAATAACAAAGTACTGTTTGCCGCTAATGTACAATCAGTTTGGCTACGTTAGTTGTAGAAGAAGTCGACAATTAGATGAAGATATCCTGGCAGCAACAGCTAAAAAACGTTTGCTAGTACGACACATTGACACGAGCCAGGGACGTGGTTTTGAAAGTTTCATTCCCACACTTCGAAGAGGGTTACGCGTGGTTTACGGTCGGGGCCGGCTGCGACGTGGATTGAACGACTAGGTGATAGGGAAGAATGGATCCACGCCCTCTAAAATTGCTTTGCTACCGAGACATGGGGAGGAAAATGGATATGAATGTGGAACTAATATTACTATAAAACGAAACTCTCGCCTAAAACATATGTGTTGGTCTCACTTCATGACAAAATTAGTAACATTTCTGTGAAAGGTTCGGAAACTGTGATTAGGGAGGGGGAATGCAGTACGGTTAGTGGTATGAGCGGAGCCAAGACGAGAGAGGATATAAATAAATTAATAAGTAAACAATGATAAAGTTAACCAGTTATTAACTTACTAAGTTTATAAGTAAATAAGTCATTAAGTTGTAAATAAATCAATAAGAAATAACTAAATCACCAAATGAATCAATAAGCTCATTAGGCGGTAAGTTGGAGTGGGGTCCGAGAAGCAAAAGCCGAGGCGAGAGAACGGACCGTCTTCTGTGGCGCTGATTCATTTCCGGTGCTGAGGAGGCGAATGCGTGACGCCCGCGACAGGAAATGGCGTTTGGTGTGTCAGCATGCACTCGTCTTCTGACGACGGATTTTCGCGGCTTTGATGCGATGGAGAGATCATTTGAGGTGAATGTCAGAATTCGAAAGATTAGAACGCGGTAGGACATATTAATGGCTAAAATACCTTCGACCTAGCCATATAGTAGCAGTTTATGCAATTTATACGTGTAATAATTTGCTCATTAAATGAAAAAAAATACAATATTTTGCACAGTGCAACAGACGTCACATGTTTTAGTATTAGTACCATTTTTATGCACGTTTGACTAAAAGATAAGTACATTTTGTAGTTTGCAAATTTTAGAAAATAAACTTGTACTGTGCAAGGGGCTTTGAACGTCCATCCTCAACGCCCCCTCTTCAACAGTCAAGCCGTTTTATTCATAATATCAGTTTTTATCCATTTGTAATATTGTTATTCAGTATCAAAACTATTGGAAAATTGTACATTCAAATAAGAAAAAGTTTATTAAGGCGGCAATTATTATCAAGGCAGATAGTTACGAGTACATTTAAACGGACAAGAATGTTTCAGGTTTTCCTTACAATAGTCAGTTAAGCCAAAGGTAAGTTGAGCAAAAAGTTATCAAAGTTCAACTACCAGTTTCTCCTAAACAGTGCGTGCAACGAAAAAAGTAAATAACTAATTCATACGACGTTTTACCAAGAATATTTTGACAAAACAATTTTTACAGAAATTTTAATAGTTTTTAAAGCATAAGTAAACGTAACAGAAATGTATTTTTATTTTATTTTGTTATAATTAAAATTCCACCGGACATTGATTTTGCGATCTTCAAATTCGTATTCATCACACCAGAAATCACGGCTCCACCACAATTTCTTTCAGCAATGGCGGGACTGCCTTTGCCCCTTTCAGCCTGACAGCGGCAACCCGCTGGGGAAAAGCGTTCCTTCCCTTCCCTTCTATTGATTAGACCCCGGGCGCGGCAATCTGCTGACGTCATTAGACCCGCAAGTGTAGTGCGTGTTTTTATCGTGGGATGTGGCGGAGATCTTTCCCCGCTGGATGTCGAGGTCCGGTGCCGACCTAACCGTCGACTTGCGGATCATTCTCAACCAGCTTCCTCTCTCCAGCGGGGCTCTACCCCAGCCGGGACTAGCTCTGGGCTTCTGATTGGCCTCCCGATATGTGTGACAGTGGAGTGCATTTGAGAATACAAGGGTATATATAAGGGGTGAGGGAAGGGCAAGGCAGAGGAAGGAAACATTACGCACGGCCCGTGGCCCGTTTGCTTGGGTACTGCTCCGGCACTCGCCTGGTGTTGATCGAAAAAAAACGAAAACTACGAATCAGAGCAGCCGACCGCTAGAATTCTCTTCCAGACAGCAGCTGAACTCGACCTAGCTATCAGGTGTCGAACACCCTGCTGCCTCCGTCAAGACTCAAACCCTAGAACCTCTCGGCCAGAGGCCCTGCAATGACACCAGTTGATGCCCTGAGTCACCAAAGCTGGTCTTTGTTTTCGACATCTCTCGTCCCCTCTCAACTGCTTCCTTCGACCAGCGATGTATACTTGCGATGGGAACATTTTTCAGGAACACCTTATACGTACATTGATTTATTTTTATGAAGTTGCGCTTATGTTTATTTTATTCAGAAACTTAAAAAAGTTCTTCATGGTCATTAATAAGCTGTTTGAATACGTCTTAATATACCATGGATGTTAAAAATGTTTTATCTACTATCTTCATGCATATGCTCACTACTGACGGCAATAGGCATCTAACCAGCTAATACAATTGAAGTAGTCTAATAATACGGCTTAAGAATGCGCTGAGGCGCAATTCTAAATGCTAGCTGTTGTTTGCATGGTTCCCTTCAACTACTAGAAACGTAAAATATATCGTGTTTTTTAAATTGTTTTGAAAATATAATGGAATAAGAGACTCGAGTTTGATTCACTCCTACTGCATCAATATCCACACATAAGTAGGGTTATATACTCCAGTAAAGACGTCAGATAGTGGTAGTCAGAAAAGAGCAAAATGGTTTCTAAACATTTTATTAGTTGTAGTGTTCAGTTAATGATTGTCCTTCTGCTGACATGCCTTCAAATTAGTCTCAAGAACTTGTTGCTGAATGAAGATTCATGGTGAAATACCTTGAAAAAGCATGAATCGGATCTTTAACCTTCTTATTAAATAAGTTCCCAGAATCTGATTTAAAACCTTCGAAATATGGTGCTGTAAATTGTAATAAATTTAGGCTTAATATTTCGACGTTATATGTTTGTAAACATATTGGAGTAATGTGTTTCGTGCTGTTACAGTAAAAGATATATCATCCTCAGAAACGCACATACTACGGCATCATTCATATTTTGAACAGATGATAGTGATTAAAGATACCAGAAGGTCCTTTAAATAGGTTCAGGTACTCGTTAACACTTATTCATCGTTTGTAACTGGATAAAATTATAAACATCGTATATCAGTAAATAAATAATGCAATTTTTGGGTAAAAATTACCATAAAAGCTTAAAGACTAAGAGCACAGAGATTTTATTAACAATATGATTTTAATTTGAAATAAAGATTGGTTTTCTATTGAGGTATTTTACAGAATAAAGCTCGGTATAAGATTAAAACATACTAAGTACTTACTTTGTTTCAAGAGGTGTCTCCTTTCAATAGCACAATAGTTCAAAAACACTGTAGGTAAGCAAACGTCACAAATAATATAATTAGTGGTCCTATATAAAGATGAAAAATACTAATTTCCATTGGTGTACTAAGCTTGATGTATTTTCAATAATTTTTTTTATAATTGCACATTATTTAGCAGCAAATACCTAATACTCGTAGGTTAATTGCCACAAAATGGAACAGCTATTTGTTGACATTCTCTCGCTTTTGTTTTTGTTCACTTCTCTCTTTAATAGTTAACTGTTAAATCAAGTTGATTGCTTCAGTCATATTAAGTAGGACAGCACAATATCTTTAATAGCCATCGCCCTATGTTCACTTACCGCACGACGGCATTGCCAAAATTATTATTAGAGCTAACTCGGACAGGATGGGTTCACCTCAGCAGCTCGAACCACACTTTCAGCCGGATAATATATTTTCTGCCTATACAACCTAATCAGCCGGATAAATTCAACCATTTCACAAAATGGGTAAAATGTTGTAAGAATGTAAAAATCATTATTCTAGGTATTACAGGTATGTTACAATTTTTTATATATTCACAAGATTTAACATTATTGAATAATACAACTTAGCAACATAGAATATACTGTTAAAACAAAGTTACTTATAGATTACATTTTATGACATTTACGTTTCACTAAATTCTTATCTCGCTATCTCTTTATATTAGAAACATGTACAGAATACACCAAAAATATAATCAACAGAAAAAAAAGTGTTCACAAAACTCCAAGCATAATTAGAAATATTATTAAGATATTTTAAATAGCACACACAGAAATTATTTCTTAATAAGTAGAAACTGAAATTAGAGATAAGCTTTCAAGATTCTGAGAATCTACGCAAGCTATTCAAGTTATTTGACAAAAGTAATGATATAATACATATCGGTTGACAATTTCTGTGTCATAATACTCGACAATACAGACATATGTGCGTATGTAAGACTTACGTGTCTATTAGTGTGACAATACACTTGGTTTGACGAAAGTCATTCTATTGCTAGATGACAACTTCAAACTAGTGGTGCTAGAACGCCACGTACTTTCTCCTACTTAACTACGGTTACGTAATATTATAATACATCAATTTCTGTCCGTATTAACACGCCTCAGTCATCAAATCAT